AAAATATATTTAATTTTTTAATTTTTATGTATTTCCCCATGCAAAAAATACCAAGAAAAATCATAAAAATGATTTTTGAAATTAACCAATTTTGAAGAGACATGGACAAGTATACCCAGTCGAGGTCTGTTCCAGTATCACCGTAGAAGTAGAAAAATTATCAACTTGACGATAGAAATTTGTGTACAGGTATTTAAAATATGTTTACCCATCATTTCATCAATATTGAATCCTGACAATATTGAATCCCGACACGATGGTGTGCATTTCGAAACTTGGAGTATGTATTATACTATCTTATCTGAGATTAATCAGTGGACATTTCGGTTTTTGCATATTAAGTAAAGCTAAAAGAAGGGGGAAAAAAAACACGGTTTTATTCCCCATATGTGATCGGCTTTGGCAAAACCCGTCAATTGTCACAATTTTGAATTTTGCACAAGCACTCAAAACATTTGAGAATCAGAATTTTGAACATTTTCAGGTTTTTGCATTTTATAAGACAACATATTGAAACATTTCTTCAAAATCTCAATCACTAAATCAAACGAAATGAAAAGTATATTAAAAGTATTTTTAAAATACAAATCTTAATAATAAACAATTGATTTTGAAATATACACATGAAATATACACTGGTTTAAAGAGGAATTCATGCACAATCTAAAAATATTGAAAACTCAATTTTGAATTTTTGCTACAAACGGCTGGTTTTGTCAGAGCCAGTCACATATATAGCGCAAACAACTATGTTTTTTGGTTTTTTAGTTTTACTTTACTTTAAGAAACTCTTAAATCAACACAGACACATCAGTATATCTTTAAATTTTAAAGAAAATTTAGTTTCCATTTTGGAATTTTTATTTTATTTATTTATTTGGTATAAAATACTCAAAATGCAACAAAGATTGAAATAAGAGTTTACAATATGAACAATTGAAAATATATATAAAATAAAACATCAAACACAACATATTTCAACCCAAGTTCCTCTGCAAACTCGTCAGTAGTTGAATAATGAGACAATAATAAAGATTAAAACAACCACATCCTGATCAAAACAATTTTAATCACCAATCATCAAAATAATCATACCGATTTAATGAATGTAATTAAAAACATGTTTTTTTAAAGTTTGAATTGTATCAAAAAGAATCGGTTTTGAACATTTTGTTTTTCAATACGGATATATACAAATGTGACTTATTGACAGAGTCCGCACAGACTGTAAATAGCACTAACAACGGTCTGATAATGGAATTTGTACTAAAAATCGTTGTACTAAAAATCGTAGGCCACAAACATACGGGACTCACCTCTGGAATAAAAATCGTCTTTGGCTCGTATCATAATCAATTTTTTAATGGAGTTAACACTCATGTGGGACCCAAATGTGGCCAACCTACAGTAAAATGTTAAAAAGCAACTTACTAACAATTAAACAACTACTTAATTAATAATTAATAACATTAATCTAATCGTATAAATATATGCACCTACCCCTTCTTGTATCATTGTCTTAAAAATCAGTATGAATGAACACAAGTGGCTGAGATTACAATATGTAAAATCTGTCTGAATTAAGTCTTCTACTTTTAGGAAGTCCTACAAATTCCATTAACATTAAAGTAGGCTCCATACGAAAAAAAAAATAATAATTTGATGTATTGCAAAACAGATTTTTCTAAGACAAAAAAGGCATACTTGACGAAAAACTTGACGAAAGTTCAATGAGATGCAGTGTACTGTAACCATCCTTTCTTCCACCTTTTTCCACCACTTTCTAAATATTCAAAAATCTGCACCTCACTAACCTTTCCCAATTTTTTTCTCTCAAACATGCTTTTCGTGTCTTAGAAAAATAAGTTGTACAACATATCGGTTTTAAATATGTATTGTCCCACGAAAATACCACAACAAAAATCATAAAAATAATTGCTGAAAATGTTTACCCATAATATGACAGCGAAAAATTATAGAAACACAGTCACTGGAAGTGTTTCTATTATTTTTATCATTATCGCATTTTTAATCCTATTATTTCTATGCTCAAGTTAATAATCATTTGTTAACTGAAAAATGAGCATGTTAATATCTATATTATTTTTGTATGGTTTTTTTTTTCATTTTCAGGACAATACATCTTTAAATTATTCCTTTAGAATACAAAAAAAAAAAAAAAAAAAAAAATCTACTAGTAGTAAACAGGAAAATAATACTTAGTAGTCCTGTTCCAAATAAAAAATTTCATATTAAGTTATCACTGTTCTAAAATTCAAGGCTGTATTAACTATAAATAGATCCTCCCAAAATTGAGTGTTTGTATAAAAATCCTTGCTGGCTAACATACAATAACCAAGTTGTCGTTGACCTGGAATAAAAAATACTGAATTAATCCGATAATGTTTATTAATCAAACTACTTCCCAACAGAAGATTAGTTAGGCATTATTGAGGTTGAAAAGAAACATTCACCCAGTAACGAATAAATTTTGTTCAATAGGAACAGGACCAGAGATAAAATTATCTGAAAGGCTCTCACAATTGTTGTAGTGAATATGCTCAATTTTAAAACAACAAAAAGTCTGTCCAGACTATCAAATTTTATTTGACAAAAACATGTGACATGCCTAAATATGGTCATGATGACATCACATCATGACCATATATGAGCACATCATGAATATTATATGGCCATACAACAGATTTTTGCTAAAGAAAATTTGATAGTTTGGATACAGCTTTAAGGCTGGGCATAAAAGTAATCAGATTTTTGTCTGTCAGACAAACATTCATGGTTTGATCAGACAATATCTGAAAAGGTATGTCTGGCTAGAGATATCTGATCCAACAAATCATTGTCAGATTAAACACTCATTGCTTGGCCTGATAGAGTATGCCTGGCTTCAGCCATCTGAACAAACAATTTGTATGTCTATCTATGGCTGCTGGAAGACTGACAATATGTTCCGTAATCACACATGTCTGATCAGTTTAAACAAAAATCTGATAGTTTATGTAAGACTTAGCCTCATTCTGAAACTAGGTTATAAATACAATCTTCGCATTCCCATCTATTAATTGGCAGATCACACGCTGATGGAAATAAATAAATTAGGAATACAAAGTATATGAGTGGGTTTCTAGATTAAGAACATAAAGACCACTTGTTTCAAAATCTATATCAAATAATAGTACAAGAAAATATTCAATTAAAACTTGCTCTTACTTGCATTCTACTTTTTATATCAAAAGATCTACTATGGTCCAAGCCCATATTTCAAAGAACCAGCAATTATATTTCATTAACTTGTAAAAAAATAAGAGGAACCTGTACTGTGTATATATTATTAGAGATATTGACAAAAAATCCTCTGCGCATAATACATTAAATTTGAATTTCAGAGTTTATCTTTTCTTGCAAGTGGTAATGGTGATAATAAAATTATACTGAATAATCAATTTGGTCTTAATATATTTCTTAGTGTTAATTTGCATGTGTAAACAAAAAAATTAATGAATAAATGCCAAAGGTTAAAGTTCAAAGAAGCATCTGACCTCAATGAGCCAATTCTGAAAATGCACTTTTGTTTAAATTGTATTATTATGCTAATAAGATTGTCAATGCCTTCTATGCTAATTAAAAACGATCTCAAACATCTAAAATCTAAGTTAATTAAAATAAGTTTTTATATGATTACCATATGTTTATATTGTAATAACGCCGAACAGAAGACAGGTAATGAATTAGAAACTTAAGCTAGCCTCACACTGGAAGGAATACAATACACTGTCAGAGATGCGACCTCTGTTCAAATTATATACTCGTATCTGTGACTAATCAAGAATCTAGTTACCACCTACTAAAGTAAATATGCAACGCTAATAATTGCATTAAACCATGGAAGAGTATTGATTGTCTCATTTTACAATTTTTTTTTCTAGATCAACTACAAAGATTTTTATAATATCAAAAGTTGAAAAATCTGTCTTTAAATATACACCTCAAAAAGTATAAATAATGTTTTATAGTCCTATCAAGAGATATTTGATATGCAGGATCCAAAAACATCTGCATCGGTAGAACCGTCCGCAGATGATGTTTTATTTATAAAAATTCCATACTATTCATTCAAAAAATTAAAACACTAAATATATGGTACAATACAAAGTTAGTACAGTAGTTTTGTACAAACATGCTCTTGAAAACTAATACAATAGCATTATAAAATGGCTTATTCACTGTGCATTATAAGTTCTATTTTATGATGGGTCACAAAACAGGGTCAAGCAAATTTTTCCTTATTTTTTACAAGAGTACACCAAAAATAACAAAATTACAAAGATGTTACACGGAATTAAATTCACACGTTAGTATGTGACATTTTGTTACATTTTTTAGTACTTGTGAATTGGGTATAGGCATGGATGCGACAAGGTATATGTTTTGGCCATCACTGTGAAGAATAAAAGGGGCCTCATCCATCTTAAAAACAAATCATCTAGAGAAGTGATTTTTTATTTGACCTTTGCATGTTTAAAATGAGCATTATATCTTTGATTACCTTTCATAACACTGAATCATTTAAACATAAAAATAATAATAATAATAATTTAAATAGTGTTCAGAAACAGGAAGTCAATATGGAAATCTTCCCAACAAAGTTACAGGCGATCCAAAAAGATCATTCTATTTTTATATCTTATTTTAATTATTAATATTATTATTATTGATGGACTGCATTTTATTAATTTGTGTGCCTAAAATTAATATAATAAATTAAAATAAATATTATACACATGAAGGTCATAGACCTTACTGCCGTCTACTATTATCTATAAAGGACTTTATCGCAACGAGCAGTAATCTATTGTAATATTTGTGAACTAATAAATAATTCATGCTAATCACTATATACCAGCCTAAAAAACGTTATTCAACTTAATTCTAAGGGGTTGTTCATTACAAGGATAACAGAATTAAAAAGGGGCCCTCTAAAATACATAAACATGAAACATTTATTATAAACAATAAATTCTAAACATAAATTATTGATTGATTAGTCATAAAAAGATAAAAACTGCATCATACTACATCTCCTGTTCAATAGTTTCATTTATGATGTGTTCTGTTAGGTTAATGTATACAAACATATAAAATAATAATATATGCACTAAGTATATTATGATAGTCAGTAAATTAAGTTACAACACAAAAACAGCGCAAGGGGTATTTTTTTTTTATATATATTTAATGAATGTTAATATGTCTTCATTCAAAATACCTGAAATTATGATGGCCACATAATATGATTAATAATAATATTGACTGAAATTATTTATATCACTATTCATATTTTAGTTTTACTTCGATTGATTTTTGGAAATCAATACTTTTATACATTCATTTCAATTTTTCAGGGTTGGTTACATCCGTGAGACAAAATGTGAATTTTATACGTAAACTAAAAGAAAATAATTCAAACATGTTTTGTTAAACCAATATTAAAGATCTTATCAATAATAAAATTATGATTTACATATTAAAAATAAAATCATAAATATCATAATTATTTCAATTATGAATATCATTATAAAACAAAAACATAAATAAAAATTAAAATGTAGGCCTACTAATGTTAAACAATAAAAATGAAATGAATACTATGCTATTAAAACTGAAATCTTGCTATTAAAATGAAATTATGATATATGAAATTAAAATTTAAAATCCTGATTATTTAAAAAAAATTTAATAAAATGATATTAAGATAATTATTAAAATTAAATGATTAGAGTGAAATTTACGATTATGATTAAAAATTTACAATTGCAAATAAATTATGATTATTTATTAATTTAGTTAAGCTTGTTCTGAATCAATATCCTCTAGCATAGAGCTGTATTTCAGGTCAAGCATTTTCATCTCGATACTAATTTGAATACAGGTTCAAAGGTCATTCAATATTACTATTATTCATGAAAATTATTGGAATCTACTAGGAGTTATCAAAATGAAATTGGTATTAGCTAGTCGCATAGTCTATGGGAAGAAGATAGGCGGATGCACTGTGGATAGAAATCAGGCCTGAATCAATACCAAAAATGCCAATTCCTGATTGGCTGATTTTTGAGTCACATGACCTTTAATAATACTGACTCATTTATCAAGTCTTTGTTTCATGTAATTTCTCTTTTTAAGGGGTTAAAGAATGTTCTGCATGGTATACTCCAATAAAATTTAAATAATTTTATCTGTTTTCTATAATGTATGAAAAATGGGAAAAATTCTAAGCAAACCATGAATTAATACGTACTCAACTCAAAAATTGTTTTCTGTTTTGCTAGATTAAATTAATTATTGTGTAAAATCTAGACTAATAATAGAATATTGTAATAATAAATTATTATTGTTAGATATCGATTCAACACAATATTTTTTTCAAGCAAGAATAAAATAAAATAATAATTTATAAATTAATATAAAATTAATATATTATTTATCACAGATTTCAACTCAAAACAAATAATTCTTAAGCAAATGAAACTAAACTGACATGAATAATATTAATGATTTTCTACATACTTGTGGAAATGTATCTTTAATGCCAAATGAAGGTTTCAATTATAGAAACCCTTACTATAAGGAAAGCCTAGCACACATTGTGCTGACAGTCAACACCAGACGCGATTATATAAGGAATACAACGCAATGAGGCACGCACAGCAGATCGTTTTTGATGACGATCCACTCTGTCCACCATAGAAATCAACAGATAGCGTTGCATCGTCAAGCGCTAACAACAAAGAGCGGAGGTGGATATGTCGGGGAAGTGGATATGTCGGCCAAACATGCACCCAGCTAAATACCTATGTGAATGTTTAGTGTTATATCACCAAATATTTGACAACAATCCCCACCCCATTCAAGTCTAATTGCCTTCAGTTCAATGTTACAGTGTATGTACAGTTAAAAAAAAGTGCTGTCTTATCATAAAAACCTTTACTTCATTATAAAAAAAAATAACCCTTAGTCTCAACTACAAGTTGAAACTTCGTTTCTACTCGTGCCTGCATTTTGTTCATGTTGTTGTGCGTCTTTTGAATAAGCATAAGTACCACGTGACAATGTTGCTGATTTTCTCATATGTTCGCCATGACTGAACAGCGGTTTTGGCGGACCTTCACTTGGCAGACTATCGCTCGGTGAATCCCTTCCGTTATCTATTAATTCCCTTTGATTTGTGGCGTCGGTTGGCCACCGACTACCATCCCCATTTTCTTCCACATTGTGACCTTGCATTTCATCTGTTTCCTCTTCATGTTTGACAACATGGGACATAAGTTCATCTGAGGTGCGGAAACAGTCACCACATGCCCCGCACATAAACGGTTTACATTCACTCTCGGGTACCGCCGCCTCAATGCTAAATCGACGATCTTTATCCTCAACAACATCAACTTTTTCAATCAACTCTGAACTTCGCGAAGACGGGGTGAATTTTTTCTCAATCACATTCACATCGTGTTGATATACAGGCGGTGGGACTGTTTTAATTGCGTGACTTTCTGGCAACGGTACTTTCCTTGGCCTTCCTGGTTTGCGTTTTATACCGTCATGGAATTTGATAGGGTGTATTCGTGGTCTGCCTCGCTTCCTTTTGCCTGTGATCGGGTCAATTGCAGCCAGTGGAGGAAGAAATCTCACTGGTGTGCGCTGTTGCGGTGAAGGTAACTGTATGGAATTTGTAATGGTAGTGGGTATAAATGTGTGCGGTATTGCACCAGTGAACACCATTAGCGACGGATCTGGTTTTGGCCTTATATACCTAATAACAGGAGTAACTGGAGCCTTTCGTGCGGGATGCTCAGTTTCTCCTGGCCTTAGTGGATGAATGCGCGGCCGTCCAGGTTTTCGCTTTATGCCATCGTTTGGCTTGACTGGGTGTATCCTTGGTCTCCCTGGTTTACGTTTTATTCCGTTGTCTGGTTTCACAGGATGGATTCGAGGCCTCCCTCTTTTGACGGGCTTTAACATCGGCCGTATCGTAGCATCAAATCCCATTATACCAGGTGCGATCATAACTGGTGCGAAAACATTTGTCGCAGAGTTATGAGGAGGTTCATGTTTAACGGTGGAGTTTGCAACATTATCTTTAACCACATATGTTGCCATACTACTTGTGTGTCCTTGGTTCGAGCAATTCTCCAATGGAATTCCACCTTCCAGTTTGGGAACGCCCTCTTTAATACTGTTTGATAGATTGCAACTACCAATACTTTCCTCTGCCTTTTCTTTACTCGTTATCAGTGCAGAATTTTTATTCAAATAAGAATCAATATCTTCCAGAAGTGGTTTTGTTTCTAAATTGTCACCGAAGTCCGGTACTGGTAGACGGCCGCACTGATCTTTTATACCATTTAAAAGACCATCATCATAATCGACCCAATTATCCATTGTATAATGTATTACAATGTCTGATACTGGTAAAACGTTCTTTCAAAAATGAGAAAAAACTCAAGCTTTTTTTAAATCTGTTGCATGGCTTACAGTAAGAACTCGCATCTTCAGTTATTATCAATCTTCAGAGAATATAGTCCTCAGCTTCTGGCAACCAAATAGAATAGGGTGGAGTATCGTTGCTACGCAAGATGTATGATTTGTATTCAAAGAATTTGTTTTACACAGTGTGTTTACACGAGTCACAAGCTGTAGGAAGACAATACACAAATGCTTTATTTTGTGTATGAAAACATATGTACAACCCTGCAATAAAAACCAAACAAGAATGTAATAATAACTGAGAGGAAATTCAATGTACTGCAGGTACATCATTAATGATTCAAACCTATTGACTATAATAAAGTTAATAAGCAATACATTTTCAAAACAGATATGAAAAATATTTAATTTTTATGATGTATACTTATGGTAAGTACTGTACATAAAGCTTTGTATGAAAAATTCTATATCAAACATTAATTAAAGATAAAAATTATTTGTGAACTGGTGCTTTGCTTTGAATACTACTGTATTAGTACAGCATAAACTACAGTACTGTAGGCCTACTGTACAAACTACTTTTAACATGTTTGCTTTTTAATCTTTAATTATGTGTTATACTCATATGTTTGGTATTTTTTATATATGTACTGTATATATTTTATATGTTTTGTATTTGTAAACTTGCAAATGAGTTGGTTGAAAACCTAGTATTTCCAATTTGGACAATAAATAAAATCTTGAATCTTGAATCACGTCAATTATCTTATCATTCTATTATGTATTTTTGTAATTTAAAGTTCTTGTTTTAAATACAATGGCTATTATTATTTTTAAACCATCTTCAGCACACACCTATCATAAAAGATGTCATAGAGTTTCAGCAAAATATTAATAATCATGGTTGTAAATGGACTTTTTAATCAAGACCAGCTGGTCAATACTTTCAACATAATCAATCTTCTTTTATCATGATTCCTTTGTTATTCAAACGAACAGGAAATATTAACTCAGAAAGAAAATTTAAAATACCAAATTATTATTAATATTAATAATATTGTTTCATCATATCTCCTTTGTTATTCACATAAAAATCGATAAGAAAATGAAAAACCAAATTAACAGTAGAATTAAAATGGATTAAAAAAAAAACTATGCTGACATAGTGAAAAATTTTAACATTTTTATTAAAAGCTTAAAAGAAAAATTTATTTAGTCTCAAATTTAATTTATATAATCATTTACAGTAATTAGTCCATACAAAAAAACAAAAGTATGAAAAGCGACTTTTTATAAAATTTTCAATGATTACAATATTTGGCATGTGCATTTAAATACTAAATTGGAAAGTACTGTAATTACTGTACATCTCCGCTGAGGCTATAAAAACCATGGAATTATGCAACCTATACTTATTTAACAATAATAAAGAAATATCAACAAAATATAATTTATGTTCGAATGTATAGTGAAATGGGTCTGCCTTTAATCCAGGTTTGGTTTGTCATCAAAAAAAAGGTCTGCTTGCCTCCCACTAACTGAATATAGTCCAAAGAATCTCAGTGGCTATAACTATGTATGTAGCAGTACCAAACCACTCTGTACTTATTTTGCATGGAGACATAGGTTGCCTAATAATAATAATAAAAATAATAATAATAATAATAATAATGTCATCTTATTAGGAGCAGGTATCCATCTCTTGGTAGAGCTGCTCGCGGCGTTGTTTTCCACTTGCAGAGTGTACGATGTAGCCTTTTTTCTGCATTATTATTTTGAATTAATTAATTTATTTTAATAATTTTTTTTTTTATTTATTTATTTATTTTTATGTATATTTATTTATATTTATATTTATTTTTTTATGTATATTATAATTATATAATGTTATGCCAAATTGCAAGAAAACCAGAACCTAATTTTAAAATGCAGGGATAGACTTCTACTAATGACCTAATTTATGGCGTGTGGGTCCCTGCACAGCCCTACTTTTCAGTCTAGCAAGGAGGTAGGAGAGCGTATGGTGTAAGGCTACGGTATTATTTATTAAAATTAAATTACGCTTACCAGATAAGTTTTGAATTTGTTGTCTCAGAACAAAAATTAGTGAAATGTAATATCGTTTAAACTAAAGGTCACATACATAATTGACTATGATTTTAAATACACCCTTTCAACAAATGTAATTTAAAATAACACAGCAGTATGTTCACAATTTCTTAGATTATGCCCAGGCTTCATGTCCTGTCTAACAACCAAAGACAGATATGCCTAAATTTCATTTCATATTAATAATATCTTTATTTTATTCTGATTCAATGAAGGCTACAACAAAAATCTTACTTATATAAACCTATTTTTACGTATTCTGGTATTATATCTAATATATTTAATTTCTCTCTTCAAATACGTTATAGACACGTATTGTAATTTGATAATTAATTCAAATGTACAGTGCTAAAATGTCATCAACAAGCTAAGCCTCTCAGTAGCATTCAAAAGCACTAAACATTTGTTGGAGCGGCTTAGGCTGGGCTTGGTAGACCTGACCCAGGTCTAGGCTAGGCTAGAAAGGCATCGCTATCTGGTAAATGAACAAAGAAACTCAAATTCTCACATCAAATAATACTAAATATGCCATGAATTTGTTCTTTAATTAATTAAAAATATACATATATTTAGTGGATGACGTAAATTATCTATCAAAACTAGTTTATTTTATTACCTCTGGAGATGTTTGCGCCTCTTTTGATGTGGAATCGGTAGGCTTGGCCGACTTTTTTTTATGACATTCGTGTATTCAACAACGCACATTAAAAATGGATTTTAGATGGCTTGCTTATTGGTTAGAACGCCCTCATGGAGCAGCCACGTCCCGTCTTATGGAAAAATTAGGTTAATTAGAAACTTACCATTAAATTTCAAAATCATAATTAATAATAATCCGACATCTATAATAATCCCACATGTAATGATGGTATCGAGGATATCCGACATTTTTACTAACTCGCAATAAGTAAATTAAATCAGATATAGAACTTAATAACCTCGAAAATAATCTTTGTAATATGGATTTCATGTATGATCTGTCAAATGATAATGACGATTTTTTTTATGTTTAAGGTAGATTGCACCGAGTTTATACCTATGATACCAGGTTTATTTAACGGTTTTGTTTAGTATTCCCTTTTCTTGACATTGTACTAGGCCTAGGCATGCCCTTTTGATAGAAATTGATTTCGGGGTGTTTTTTTTTTTTTTGTTTTTTTTTTTGTTTTTTTCTTCATTCATTGAAGTGATTGTATTTTTTTTTACCTTACATGTGTATAGATGCACCATCACTGTGATGGGTGCCGCTGTTTAGAAAGCGATTTCCAGATAATAATAATACTGCTAATAAAAAATACTGTTATTATTATTATTATTATTATTATTATTATTATTATTATTATTATTATTATTATTATTATTATTATTATTATTATTATTAGTATAAACACCGTAAATAATATCGGTGTATTTTTTTCAAATATTTAAAAAATAGTGTGATTGGTCATCACCCTGAGCATTTCCATTATTGTTAATAGATGATGATGGTGAGATGATGACGATAAAGATAAGAGGATGATGATGAGATTATTGATGATAAGATTGATATCATCTTTATCATGTGCACAGGCCTATTATTTTCTTTTGTTTTTTTCTCTTCAGTAAGTCACAAGTGTCCTTCTCAATTGTTTTTATGTCTTCTTGTCGCCTGACGTTTTCCACTGATTCAGATAGAGCTCTTTTGAATGCTTGAATACTAGAGTCTTTGAGGACGAACAAAGTGTCTAGTCCACACAATGGCAAACGTTTTCTCCCTTTATTAATCTAATCCATAGGCTTGGTCCTCCGTCGAGTGACCTGGATTAGTGGCGGATATTCGGTCAGAAGGAGTGTCTACACCACCTCAATCCCACCCACCATTGTGGGCTGAAGATTTATGATAACGGCACCAGCTGTAGATGGCCGGAAATGGTACTCTCACAGACTTAAATTTCAATATAATTTTCTATTTTCTCCATTTTTTTTTTTTTTTAAGTTTGAAAAATTATAAAAGGCCCCGACGGGGGGGGGGGGGGGGATAGTTGAGCGAATCGAGTCTCACTTGGTTGGGGATCGCTTAGGGCCCGGTGGGTGTCCAGGGATAGCCACGGATATTTGACGAATTATGGCGAATTTTTATTACTTATTTGAATGATAGGCATCAAGTTACTATAATATGTAGTGCAGGAGCTTATGTATTTTTGTTCGCAATTCATCTTAATTTATGGCAACAACGCTTTTCCAAGAATTTTATAGAACAAAAAAAATGTTGGTGCCAATTTTTTCGAGAAGGTTAACTGGCCGCCATCTTGAAAAACAAGATGGCGGACACATCTAGTCAAACATATCATTATATGGTATCATTGGAAAGGAAATAATGCACTGAATATTTTTTCCCATTACACTAATATAAAAAAATGAATAGTAACAGAGATATCCGCCATTAAAAATGTCATTGTCTGCTGCCCTCTATTGGTGAAAAGTTTATTTTCATAGTTCTTTGTACAAATTTAGCTGGATTTCTCAGTTCTAATATACTTTGTAGATTCTTGTTTGTAGTTGACACTGTTAACAGAAACATTTCTATTCATGTTTATTGGTTTTTTCATGAAATAATGGAAAATCATCATTTTTGTTGTGTAGAACCTTTACTGTATAGACTATAGCTTCCGGGGCCAAAAACAAAATCATTTAACAGAAAACATAATTATGAAATTAGATTGCCTGATTGGGAGCAATTTTCCTTAAAGAAAGTGTTAATCATAACATAGTCTGTTATCTACAATCAACGATTTAATAGGTGAAACTATCCCCACCAGAGACCATCCTGGTACTTCTGAGTTTAGGGTTAAACAAAATCATTTGGCAGAAAAACAAAAAGTGACATGAAATGTTTCTGATACAGAGAGCTGTGGATAAGGCCTTTTGTATTTTGTCATTGTAGCATTATTTCTTATTATTTCAATGTTCAGAAACAAGCAGAAATGCTTTAAGGGTTCCTCAAATTTTCTAATTGTTGTGTTTATCTGTGAGAATTTCGAAACAAATCACATCAAATCATAATAATGTCAGATAGTAGATAATTGATTCACATAATAATATGCACTTCTCATAAAAAAATTAAAAGTAGGTAAATAATTCTCTGTCCAACATCATCATCCTGAGTCGAGGCTAAAACAATATTACATAATTGACAGTAAAGAAAACAAAAGTAAATTAGCTGAAACATGACTGCCTATTTGAGAGCTATAGTAGGCCTAATATCAAATTGTTAGAAACTAGTGTGGACCTCAGATGATAATACAAATAGAGTGATCTAATACTATTTTCATAAAAACCCTAGTGTCCAGCACCTCTCAGTTTCCTCTATGTTAGGTGGTTTTAAGCAGCAAGAAAGTATTATCAATTGTAAGTTATATACCCTGACAGAAACATTGACACTTCAGCGGTCCCAAAGTCTACCCGAACTCGCAAGAGTCTCCGGGAAATCAAGACGGTCTCCCGCACCCTTGCAAGCATGCAATAATCTCCCGGAAGTAAACCCATCTCCGCAAATTCAGGAATTTAGTGCTGGTGTGTGTATCACTATGTGTAGCAAAATATAGTTAAATAAGTAAGGAATTCTTTAACCAGATCAGTAGTACAGTACAGGGACGAGCAAAGTTATGAAAAATGGGGTAGAAATGAAATTATATTCAAATTTATGTCTGAGAGGGCCGTTTCCCGCCATCGAAACGTACCACAATCATATCTATTTTTCTCAACCCCAACTATGATGGTGGGCTAATGTGATTCACACCCTCCATCTGTGAAAGTCCCACAACCCTCACCCTTCGACCCATGCAGATCTCTCTGAAATGACTTCTTCGAACCCCTGTAGTGCGCTCTCTTTTTGTAGGCAGATTGTTTTTCGTATTCGGCCAACGGTTTCCGAAACACAGAGACTTGTAACAGCTAGGTTTGCCAAACGATATTGTTCCAGCAAAATTGCGCCTGTCGTGCCAAGATGCATGAAGGCTGTTATCACATCATCCGTTGATTTTGTTTAGTTCCAAAAATTAGACAGAAATACTTTAATTATAAAAAATAAAATAAAATGTGCCTGTTGTTATTGTAGGTGAATCCATAATCTATAATTCATTATTATTTAGACCTGGTAAATATCAAGAAATTTCATGTCACCTTATTTTTTTTTTGTAACCCCCGAAATCCGGATTCACAAGTACCGTACTCGCGCGAATAAGCGCCCCTTTTGAATAAGAGCCCCTCGATTCCAAAAATAAAAAATCAATCATACTACGTACATCACCAACTTAATTTTCTGCATCAACTATTCGCATCTATCTTAGCATTGTCGGTCGGTCAGTCCAGCTATCCATCAGTCGGGCTCTCAGTCTCCATTTATAGGTTTAACATGATTTTCAGTTTTGATGTAATTCAGTTCTTGTTTTATTGCTACCATTTTTTGATTTAGAACTACTAGTATTTAATAGGCCTATCTAAAAATGAAAATACTGTATGGCCATTTAGTCAACAAAAAGTAACTGACTTATCACTCTCGTATCTAAGCAAGAAACCCTGCAATGATCCTGCTAATCTTAATTGGCAGATCGCCAACACGCTTACCACCACACCAACACCAAATTTCATCAATTTCATCTGCTGTTGTGTACCTCAACATTCTTGTCATGAGCCATGCTCTCTTGACGATTACTTTTTCTTCACCAAAACCATTCACTTATCTTCGATTTTAAAAAAAATGCCCCTTGAATTTTCCAATTTCCTATAAGCACTCCTTCAATTTTCATCTGTTTCCATAAGCGCCGTATTTTTTCCTCAAATAATCAACTCCCCACCCAACCAAATGACTGTAAAACGAAGCAACATCATTGTCAGATATTGATTTCCTACTCCAGTAAAATTATATTTTTTTCTTTCATTTTGATAGTAGTTATGTGTTGTAGTGAAATTTAAGGGCATACATTTTAAGTATATACGCATCTGACTCACACCAAAAGAAAATAATAATAAAGCAAAAGAAATAAGAGAAGTTTTTACACTAGGACGATTCGATAACGATTTATCGTGTATACGATAACAAAATATTTTAACAAATCAAATCAGATGACGTCATGATCCTTGAAAAACGATAAAATCGTTGCTACTACTACGATTTTAATGTTTTTCCGAAGAGCAAACACCAATTGGTTTGAAGCTGAACTTTATACAGGCGTCATAGTTGTAGTATTCCTTAATAATGAAAACATTTTTTCTTCTTTTTTACAACCAAATGTGTTTATGCCTTACACAAATAATACAACAACAACTAAAATGCCCGACCCTTAATTTCATAAAATTTGGGTAGGTCGGGCGTGGCCAACACAACATTTTTTTTTGGCCTTATTTATGACGATACTTTAATATTTACCTTATATGGCCTTTTTTGCCTTTCATACCAGCTACCACATTAACAACTGTATACACAAAAGTAGAGACGACGCAGCGTACGTGATTTCTAAATCGTTTTCACCAGAGAAGTAATGATTAGAGCTAGAACTGAAGGTTAATTATTGTAAGTGTCTTCTTGTTCTAGAACTGAATCCCCAGCACTTAGGCTACGGCCTCTCCTAGCGCTAGCTAGGCTTGTCCTAGCTAGGCTGCATAGGAATAGTGGTTCCTTGCTAAGGCCTTGGCCTAGGCCTAGCCGTCTGTAGACACTGACCTACCCTCAGGCTCTAGGCAGGCCTACTAGGGAGGGCCCTACTACTACTACTAGGCCCCGTCTGGCTAGGCCTAGGGCCTGATAGACGATGTAGGCCTAGGAAAGGCTATGAAGGACCATTCAGTAATACTGTAATACTCTAGACTGGACGCGACGGATTAGGCTAGGCTAGGTCTGGCCTATTTGAGTCATAAGTAAGAGTAGCTAGAAGAGGCCGACCTATCCTCAAACTTAAAACAAAACAATAATTAATAATTATTTATAATTAATAATAATAATAATAATAGGTCTAGGCCCCGAGGGTAGGCCTAAGTCACACAAGTGCAATTTTTAAAAATTATTTCGAACTGTGTACATTTTTCTTGCGCAGTTTTGAAAGTGCGCAAAAACTTTATTGTCCAATTTCGAATCTGACAAATTATAATATTATTATTAATGCATATCTATTCTAACAAATTACTTGATCAGTTTTCAAACTACAAAGGTGCTTTGCATATTGTAAAGTATTTAAATTGCGTGAATGATACTTCAAAATCCACCTCAATTTTGCACGGAAAATCACTAGGAAAATAGTAATACATGAGGCCTAGTTATAATATATTAAGATCAGGTCAAAGCCTAATTTTCGTGAAAAGTGGCCTTATTTTCCAAAAAGTGCAGAGAGATTTCTATTCATAGTTTTTGTGCATAGGATATATTTCCTGCGCAGGCCTTATTTTGCAGTCTGGGAGCCTTGCAAAATTGAAATGTGGACCTTTTTTATTTTTTTATAAATTTGGATAGCCCTAGGATTATTTTGATAATGGTTTGCATTCAGGAAAATAGTAGTATTACCATTGGTAATATGATTCCTAACCGTGATGGTCTGTGTCGCTTGCGCTTTACCAAACCTTCAAGAAGTAATCGTGCGATGGTCTGTGTCGCTTGCTTCACCAAACCTTTAAGAAGGTGCTCCTTTTTACGTCAAAGTCAGTACTGTATATCCACATTGAAATTTTTTGAAATCTACTTACTATTTTGTATACAGAGCAGCAGATCGTAGAGGCTACATTATGACTATCACCTGCTATCATTACTGTCTGTAAAAATTTCATTGTGTAACATGATGACTACTATTGTTCCACACAGATGAATTCAACATGGGATCGCTCAACAACTACTAATGGAATACCATACTTCATAAAGTAAGTTTAAAAGCTGCATTTTGATTAAATACTTTAATTGTACAAACGATTATACATAAATTGTTGATTCTAATTGTTCCATATTTTTGTTTGTCAGTCACTCTACTGAGCAGACACAATGGGATCATCCAGACCTGGTGAAGGCTATGGAGAGTCTAGGTAAGTTATTGCAACCTAGCTATGCTGTTGGAAATAATAATATATAAATGTTTACTATTTCGCATAATAATATGGGAGAGGTTAGCACAGCATTAGCCAGTGGCAAATACAGGAATTCAAAATAGAGGGGGACCAAGCGAGGGACTCTTATAGATAGATCCCCACCATGGTTGGGGCTGAGTTACGAAATTTTATGAGTATGGCACCTCTAGATGACGGGAAATAGCACTCTCAGGCTTAAATATGAGGATTATTTTCCCCCTCCATTTTTATTATAATTTAAAAAAAAATTAGTGGAGAGGGCTGGACTGGCTTCCTTCCTTCCTCCTATGTAATCCACCAACTGGTAGCTGTTGAATTTGTTTCCTTGTGGTAGGTATAATATGTCTATTCATCTCCTCCACCAAAAATTTATAAATTGGTTCCTGGTAGTATACTTTGGGTGCTCTCCGGCTGTGGTGGGATAAAATGAAGGAATTGCATTACCAGTGGTGGATTCAATAGGGGCCCAGGCCCCCCCCCCCTTCCTAAATTTTTTACAAATATTTTTAAAAATGAGAAAGAAAAACTAAATATTTAAATATGCCACGGAAAATATCCAGGATTTTAAGAACATACAGGCATGTTGTTCTAGTGGTGAATAAGTATTTTTGCATTTGATTCTAGAATTTCTGGGGCAGATTGCTATAAAACGGTCGTAATTGGTAGTCTTAACTCGAATAAAGCCAGCTTTATCACTTAGATAGTCACGTTGCTAAGACCATTGCTATTAAACGGTTTTCACTTAGACCATGATGAGTATTGAAACGCTAACAAGCATTCCATGGTAACATAAAATTGAGGGCTCTGTTACACATACCTCACGCTTACTCGATTAATGTATATACAGTGCACATGTATTAAAAAAGAACATTAATACACAAAGACTGGATTTTACAGACGCTGAAAAGTTTGCGTAATATTTGCTGTTCGATTCTTGGTGTTTGACGATCTAGTCATAGGTCTAGTACCTGAAACACCGTGATGGAAATGATTTAAGACCATTTTAAGCCTCCTCCGAGTAGGTTTTAAAATTTAAGATCGTTAACTGATTAGACCGCGGTTTTAGCAATGGTCTATAATGATAGACCAGTAGTGACGTTTAGGATTATATTATAGCAATCTGCCCCAGATAGCTAAAAACAACAAACATACCCCATGTCTCTCCTGAGATACATTGCTTACATTAGCAGAACTGTACTCCATTCAGTTGTTATATCATTTTATAATATACGCTGTTCATGATCGTTTTATTTATTTATGTACGTTAGAAGAGCTCGGGAGTATTCGCTTCGCAGCTTACCGAACTGCAATGAAACTACGGACACTGCAAAAGGTTTTGCGATGTAAGTACAGCTGAAAATCCTATTCTGTCATACCGTAAATACTGGAATAAGCGCCACACTCGAATAATCGCGCGCAAAGCTTAATCGAGAGTATATATTACCCTGCGTGTAATGAAACATTTTGAGAAACACGGTTTTAGATACAATGTATGCAATGCTAAAAAGAATAAATATCACGATGAAGACATAAACATTTATTTATAAACATTTATTTAAAATGACGTAGGACCTATGATAAGTCTACCGAACTAAGGGAATATGTGAGAGAGTTAACATGGGATTGGGCTTAGAATATATTTTTATATTTTTTTTATAAGTGCCACTCTCGAATAAGCACTGAAGCCTCCAAATTTTTATTCAAGCTTTTACGGTAATTGAAATAAAGTTGAATGAAGCAAGCTTCATGCACCTGTGCCTTGTTAAGACACCAACTGTACTTACTTTATTCTGGTTTCATGTATTTCAGTGGATTACGTGAATCTGCGTATGATTCGTATAGCATTTGATCAGTGTGGTTTTCGACTCCTCAACAACACTGTGATGGATGTAGGGCAACTGTACGGCATCATCTACGACATCTTTACAATGTGCCATGAGCGAGGTCACCCAGATGTCAGAGTTGATCAGTGCTCGGATCTCCTCCTTAACTGGATTCTTAACCTTTATGACAGGTAATGGTGATATGGGTGTGGTGCACAACTTTTTATCCCAGAATCATGAGTTCGATCATTGCACTGATCTATCTTAGACTCGATCTTTAACTTAAATTCAAGTGTAATGGATAGTTTCTCTATTTTGCAGACTCCATATCTATAGATACATTACATATCCCTAAATAGTTATAAGACAAGTAATGGAATGATGGGTATGGTCCTTGAATACAGGTCATTTAAAATTAGGAGTGGTGTTCAATCATTGCATTGTTCTTCATAATTAGATCCTTACATTTGTAGGTAATAAAAATATATGTGTGGTATTTGCCTATCACTCGAAATTATACATCATTATATAATACTTGAACATCTTATATATAAAATTGTTATTTTTAGAGCAAGAACTGGATGCCTTCGAGTTATATCTGTCAAGATTGGAATTGTCTGCTTATGTGCAGCACGCATCACTGAAAAATACAGGTGTAAGTGATAATTTGCATATTCACATTCAGGTGTAACATTTCCAGGTGTACTTAACCCCTCTTTGACCTTTTGACCTTGGATACCCCTTTAAGGATATTCAAATTTGCTCCATTTAGGAAATGTAAATAAAGAATAACATTGAAAATGAAACCAGTGATTAGATAAGTCTATTGTATATAGACCGAGATGGTGGTTGGTTGTTGCGTATCTTCCGCTACAAGTGTAACTATTGGAATTACAGTGCGTACAGTATGTTGTTTCCATCATAATTTACTTTAAGTATTTCGCACCACCGGACATGGACATGACAAGCAAGCGCGGTCCCCCAAGGAGGTACCCTGAACCCAGCAATAGCGGTGCTCACGCCATTAGAGAGTGCCGCGCCCTTTCCAAACTGCATTTGCCCAGTAGTAAAGCTTTTGACTAGACCACCAAATTTGTGCTGATGATAAATATTGGACTAAAATTATCAATGATTGCTATGTTAATATTAAAGAAATTGGCATTAGCTAAAGATAAAAAAGTGTTTTTCCTGAACTTTGTTTTGTACAGCTGAATTCTCTGATCATAATGCATTACTTGGATGATTTTGCTTTGCATTTACTTTCTTAAATTTATAAATAATTATTTATTTTACCTGAAGACTTTTATGAGCAGATTAGTGATAAGACAGGGAATGTGAGTCAGAGGGCATTGAGCATACTACTACAAGATATGATGGAGGTAAAGTTGCAGTTAAAAACATTTAAAAAAAATAATTCATTTCTGGAAATATTGAAATTTTCGCTGCATAAATTTAAATTCTTTGTAGAGATAAATTGAAGATGAAAATGTGTATACATTTTTTGAATTTTGGTTAGGTTGATATATATTTTCTGAATTTAATTGACTGCAAATATTTTGAATACGGTTGGTAGAAGAGTATTTTTTTTAAATTGACATTTTGAATTTTTTTTGGATTTTTCTATTGGTTGAATATTTCTTGATTTTGACAAATGTCAATTTCTTGATTATTTGGCAAATGTACAATATAAATTTGATGATGCCTACTGGCTCAACAATATTGAGATTTAGATTCGAAGAATTCTTGAATTCAATTTACTGATTCATGTGATTTACTGATTTTTAGAATTGATGTTAAATTTTTCTGAATTTTTATATTGCAGATTACAAATGTTATTGTTGAAAGCGAGGCTTTTGGGAAAAATACCTCTGCAGCAGTGGATAATTGCTTTGGAAATGTAAGTAGTTTTACCCCATGTAATAATAGAATAGTTAAAGCAGATTACAGTGGCAGATCCAGAAATTTGAAATAGAAGGTCCCAAAGTGGAACTTTCACAGATGGAGGGTTTATAATACCTCAGCCCCACCATGGTTGGGGTTGCGGTAAGAAAATTTATGATTATGGCACCTCTCGATGGCCAGAAATGGCACTCTTAGACTGAAAATTTGAGTAGAATTTTCTATTTTTCTAAGTTTTTTTAAACTTCCGATAAATTTAGGGGGGCACTGGCCAGCTGGGCCCCCTTGAATCTGCTGCTGGACTATATATTATAAATTATAATCTTTATTTTGGGTACACACTGCATTAAAAGCTGTCAGCCAACATCATTCCTTAAAAAATTGGGACTTGTATTTTTGTAGAACTTCGGAGCAACCATCGACTCCCAGCAATTCATGTCCTGGATGTTGGCAGAACCTCAGACAATCGTATGGCTTCCAACATTACACCGCCTTGCTGCCTCTGAGACAGGTAAACACTCTTCAAAAAGATAAGATATACATTTGTTTATATTGACGATCTGCGAGCTGTAGGCTGTGGTACAATTTTATCCTGCAAAACATTTTGGAGGGGAGGTGGATTTGGACCAAGCGTTCTGGAGAAAATAATCAAAGATTTGGTAATGCAAAACTGCTTAAAAGGGATTTTGTTACAGATAGAACAGATGTCAAATTGTTGTATATGATAAGAACATGGAGGTAATTTTTATAATCAGAACTTCTTGCCAGGCTTTGGAATGTTGCTCCCTGGTACGGCTGGGCCGAGGCTAGGTACCTAGCAGGGGTGGATGCAGGGGTACTAGATATTTACAGAAGACCACCTAACTTCGGCTTTAAATTTTAGGCAGTAATCATCACACAGGGCGAGGTGCCGAGCCTATCAAGTTTCATAATTTGACATGAAATCAAGACATTACGTGATTTCCAAAATATCGTTATAATAAATTTCTGTTACTATGATAACTCTTCATTTTTCTCTCAGTGAAGCACCAATCAAAGTGCTGCATCTGCAAAGCTTATCCAATCAATGGCCTGCGTTACAAGTGCCTTAAGTGTATCAACTTTGACCTATGCCAAGAGTGTTTCTTTACTGGACGGACAACGGGTAAACACAAGTACACGCATCCGACACAGGAGTACTGCTTAGGGGTCAGTGTGTAAATGAATTTAATAATTTTATTTAATTTGAAGTTTTAAAACAGAATTAAATTATGATGTGGTCGAAACATAATGATTATGATAACATTCATAATGTAGAAAAAAAGCAAAAAAAGCAAACAGTAGCTTCAATAAAACTGATGCTGCTTTTTCCTTACAGTCTTTCTCAACAAATGATGTATGATTGTTTGTTAAAGATTTATTTTCCCCCGGAATCAACAAAAAATAATAAAAAGTAATTTTAAAATTAACTAGCTCATTATACAGCAACATACAAATTATTTTTATTTGAGCCATACAAATTATTGAATTTAAAAATGTGTACCCTGATGTTTACACTGGATAATGATAAAAATATTATATTAAATTCCAGTCAACTGGAAGTGTTTTTATGTCTATAATTATTTTGCTTTAAAATTATGGGTAAACATTTTTTAAATTCACTAATTTCTATGTTCAAGTTGATAATTTTGATGTCACTTCATAATGAGCAAGTTATTTAAAAAAATATTTGTTTTCTAGGCTTCTTCTAAAGATGATGCTAGAGCCTTTGGTAAGATCATTCGCAACAAACTGAGCAAAAAGCGAGGGCGCACTATAAAGCAGAAGTATTTGCCAATTAGTGGCGGTACTGAACCAGATTACGGCATGCCAACCACTGGTCCTCAACCGGATATAGATACGCACATCCACCTAAATCAACTTACCCGAAGGTAAGAAGAATCAACATAATAATTATAATAAATAGTCATATCTTGCTTCAATTTTTCTGTCATAATAATAATGATAGTAAAAATAATAGTAAATAGCAGTAATAGTATGTTTGTTTTATGTAAAGCAAATCATACCAAGGCCCTATGTGATTTACATTGTTAATGTAGAAGATTGTTAATGTAATATAGTTAGATTTATATAGTCTCAAAGTGTTCAAAGCAAGGAATAGCTCAAACAGTAATTTCTTTTTCTCCCCTATGGGTCTCTTTTCGTCTGAGCTACTCTTGTCCGTCCACAACATGGGCTGTACACCAGGGTAACCCTGTACTAGTCTTGAATAATATGCTGGGTTCTTTAATAATAGTGGAAATGAGCCAATTGTTGACACTAGCCCTAAGGTTTATAGGCCTTACCTAAGAAGACATTTGTTCCACCACCAGAACCATTTGATTCGCCTATGCAGGCTGCTAACACATATATCAGATACTGGGAGTGTTGGTGGTGGGGCCGTGTGCTGCCTAATGATGACCAATCAAGAATGGAGAGCTCTCAGGATGTTGACATTTCCAACAGGAAGAAAAGATGAATGTTTACACAAAATTCATATTAATATCAGATTGTAAAATGGCATTTTTAAAATGAATATTATAATTCTTTCTGACATATTCATATTTACTTCTGTTCTAATTACTTTGTATTTATATTTTGTTTTATTAACTCCAGCAAGGAGGCTATGCATTCATCGCTATCTGTCTGTATGTCTCTCTGTTAGCAAGATTACATAAAAACTAAGAAATTAGATGGATGATCATAAAATTAATGGAATGGTACATAATAATATAGGAAAGAAATAATTATATTTTGGGAAGAAAGTTCAAAGAACAAGCTCACGGAAAATTGAGCATGAAAGAAGTTTAAATGGAATCTCCTATACACAAAATGTGTATTGTTCGGTATTCAATCACATGGAGGAGGTAAGCAGTATGTTACTGCTCTAGTTTATTCCTTTTTTTATTTATTTTTTATTAGGTTAGCTGAAGTAGAAACGATGACACCACCTCCCGTTGATCAGTCTAGAAAATCATCACAGACAAGACCCATCTCACCTGCACTGAAATCTCAGGACCACCAGTCACCTGAAAGACAGGAGCTACAAGATATGATTAACTTACTTGAGAAAGAAAATATGTAAGTAATGTGTGGCACTACTACCTACTAAAATGTTTCTTCTGCAGAAAACACTCATTGTTTTGCTACTGTCAGAGAGGTATTCTGGGGTGGGGGTGGGGGGGTGAAGCCATGAGAGCCCAGCCCTCAAAATTAGGAAAACAGTATGTCGGCAAAAAATATGAAAATCGCTAGTGCTATAAAATTGTCGCCAGTTATTACGTCGGCAGTTTTTAGTTTCAGCTACAGTCCTGAAATCAACCCATGCTGACCTGTTATAGCAGTGATGGATGTCTTTTGAAGTCATCCAATCAAGCTGCAAAGCCTATCCTACGTACTGATGTTCAAATTCACAACTAATTATTGATAAATAATGTTTAATAATGTTTATGTTATGATGATGAATAAAATGAAACTACAAAAAAAAGAGTGGAATCTCAGAATTCCGAATGCCCAGAAAACAGAAAAACTTTTTTTTATGTTTCAAAACCATTCCTATTCTTCTTTTAATAAAATGCTTTCCGAAAACCGGATCTCCCTATTTTGAATTCCAGACGTTTTATTCTGTCAGGAACATAAAAGTCAACTTCCACAAACCGAACAAACAGTTAATAAACAACAATTTCCAGACAAAATATTGCAATTTTTGAGTTGGCCCCTCAAAACAATCCTTAAAAGTTAACAGTTGTAGGAAGGGGAACAGTCCCACCTTCGCTTGGTACTACGTACCTGGCATGACGGTTTCCCCCCCCCCCTCCCTTCCTGGCTACAGTACATCCCTGGCTACTGTCATTCATTGCAGTATCGTTATCATCCAAAAAGAAAATTCAATTCAATATTGCAATAATTGTCTTCTAGGGAACTACTTCGAGAGATTGAGAAGCGACGTTCCATTGGATCCTCTGTAAACGAAGATGACACAGAGTATGAATGGCTTCAATTGCAACGGGAAGAGATGCAGGCCCGGCAAGAAGTCCTTGAGGAACAGAACAAGCAGTTGGAATTGCAGCTAAGAAGGCTGCGCTTAATGACCAAGGTATTCCATTGTAGTGATTTAACCATTTCATGTTAAGTACCTTATGAATATTCATATTGCTTTACATTTGTTATATTTATACCAGAAATATTATTTACGTTATATTGTCAATGTTTGTCATAGTATAGCTTTTTTATAATAAAAAAATAAATACATAACTCTCATATTGTAATAGGCATATTTAATGTCATCAGTACTTTCAACACATGTTCACGGTGGCATTGTCAAGCACGCTTAAGCTGACTTGTACCAAATAAATACTCTCTTATCTAGAATAAAGTCTTCTGTGTGGTTATTGCTTAGCACCCGCATAGAGTTACTAATTTTATGAACCCGACATCTGTATAGCCAGGCTAAGCCCAACAGGGGATTTTTAGATGAAAGATTGACTGACTTTAACTCCCTGGAAGAGCCACCTTAACTATATTCATGGTGATGCCTAGGAGCCAAGATGCTTATGTTATTCACATTTTTTATAATAGTGAATTATTATTTGTTTGTTTTTCCTAAATAAATAAATTACATTTTTACCAGCATTAATAATAATAATGACATGTTGACTGCCAGACTTTTTTTTTGAGGTTCCTTCCTGCGTGCCAAAATATATGACAGTACTCTTTATCGCCTCTGCCATTTTGCATGATGTTCAGAGTGTACCCTCACTTGTGCAATCAAGTGTACTGCCGGCAGCACAACACAACAAACATACATACGTTATTTGTACGTTGCCGTCTAGGAGTAACTTCCCCGAACTATCAGCTGTTAAGATTGTAATAAATGCCAGAATTTTACCCTGATTTTGACAAGTATTCAGTAGTCGTCTCTGGCGCCCTCAGCAACACCCTGTGGGAAGAGTATGCTCATCCCTGGCAGTGAACGTGTTAACACTTTGACCGCCAGGGGTTTAAAAAAATAGTATCAGCCACCGCCAGATTTTTTGGCAAATTTTAACACTTTTCCGAAGCTTGTTGAGAGAGCGTATGTAATCAGATTGACATGTAATGAATACTACAAGAACTACAAATATTTTAGCTTTACAATGATACCAAACACTTTATTCTAATCACAATCTGTGACCTGTAACAGTAAAATGAAATTGACTCACTTTTGGAGATGTAAGCAATTTCGCACAACAAAGCTGAGATAATCGCGATTTAGTGCAAATCTAATCGATCAATGATAATGTAAACAAACAAATAGTGAAATACTTACGGTCCAGACTAAATATAGTGTTCAAATTGTTAGTACATGTCGGTAATTACCCCATCTATCGGATTCTGTAAAAAAATCTGGAACACAGAGATCTCCGTGTTTGGCTGACAAGCGTTGCGTTACTAAACACGGATATCTCCGTGTTTGAAAGGCAGAGTGTTAAACACATATTGATGATGTATGCAGCACCTAGTCTGATAAAATTTGAGTGGGCTCTCAGCATTTTTTCACAGAAAGCTAATGGAAAAGAATTTAGTATAGTTATGTCAATATTTTTTATATAATACACTGTATAATGTTTTCTCTGAATTTTCTTAAGAGAAATAATGAGAAATTGAAAACATTTGAAAAATGTAACTAATTGCTAAATTCTTGTAAAGAAAAGTATTATTCTTTAGTAATTTTTTTTTTTCACTTGTTATACACTAGGAACAACCAGTGCAATCTGCTTCACAACTCACTGAGAGAGCCACTGTGCTGTCATCACAATACATGCTTGATAGAACAGCCCCGCCCAGACTGTTTCCATATCAACCAACCCACCAATCATCCCCAGGAATTGATATGATTGACAGCAGGCCTGCAACTAGGACACTGGTTAGATCCAGAAACAGTCATGAACCTAGTCGTCCAAGTCAACCTCATGTTTCTGACAAAGCAACTAGACTCCTCCCACCTCATCTCATTGACCAATCAGCACTGCAGTTTCCATCCGCCAATACCACTAGGTTTTGTCCAACAGAAGAAGCTCAGCTTCAGGATCTGGTACAGAAGTTGGATGATGTTTTTCCGTTAAATGTCGACCATGGTAAGATATTCATATGCATGAATTTTAATGAGGGCAAAAAAAAAAATTATTGTGTTGGCCATGCCCAACCGACCCAAGTATTATTTGTGTATCTTCTACTTTTTATGTGTAAACACATATTTAGTATTTAAAAAAAAAAAGTTTTTCTACCAACCTACCCACTTTTAAAAATTTTTCCAAAAAGAGGCAAACACAAATTTTTTTTTCTTGGCCTAATAGTGATAACAATTAAAATATGGGAGGAAGTCATCTATAGCGACCTTAGGGCAAAACGTCTAAGTTGAGAATTGACTCAGGACAAAGGAGCTTCAAAATCTGCCATCAAATGAATGAAAGTCCAACCCATGATCAAACTGGACATGGACTAAATAAACATATATGATAATAATGATAATAGTATTTATTAAAATAGTAGTAATAGTAATTTTTATGATAAATATTATGATATACAACAAGTAATTAATGTAACAGTTTTCCATGTACTATTGAAAATTATTACACAAAGGAGCCTTTATTGCATGGAAGAAATTTAAAAAAGTTTGAAAATGGAGTAATAATGATTCATAAAATTTGATTTGTTGAAGTCACAATTCTGTTCAAATACACCAGCAACTTTACATCATTTTAAGAAATAGGTACCTAAAAGGAACATGCGGCTACTAAGGCCATAAAAAGAAATACTGGTGTGGCGCTTTTCATGCCCTTTCCCATGTTAGCTTTTATGGTTAAGAGTTGAGTGTTGCTTACACTCGAATGCAAAGAATGTTTTGGGTTGATAAATTCCTAAATTTGGAATGATATCTCTTCCAACTGCTTTATTTTAATGTTTGAGTTTATAAGAATATTGGTCCCAAAATCCCTCAACTTCACTGGACTTTGGTTTTCAATAGTTCTGAAATTCAGTGTGATATGAAGCAGAAAAAACAGTTTCTTGAAAATTGTCTGCAGTGGTTTGTAATTGTAATTTGAAGCACTGATTTGTGTTTGTTTTTAACTGGAGATACAATATGAATGTAGGCTTCCCTTTTTTTTTTTTTTTTTTTTGCCATATTTTTTAGTTCATTAACCTGAAATGATAAGGTATAAAATGCAAATTAAATTATTCATGGTGAAAAATTAGTGAAATATAAAAATGACCATGGCCTGGTTCTCGCGAGAGCCCTAGTATCC